CTCCTTTTCCCCTTTGACTCGTTCAAAGGGGTTTTCGAGCAGCTGCTGTGCTAGACTGACGAAGGGATTGGAATCATTACTGAAGCATTGCCAATATTAGTGCTCAAGGTTCCTTCAGAAAATGAATAAACCGCAAAACCCTAGTCTACTTGCTAAGCTTAAGGGCTGGAGGCCTCTAGACTACTACTACTACTACTACTACTACTACTACTACTACTACTACTACTACTACTACTACTACTACTACTACTACTACTACTACTACTACTACTACTAGTACTAGTACTAGTACTAGTACTAGTACTACTACTACTACTACTACTGCTCCTGCTCCTGCTCCTGCTCCTGCTCCTGCTGCTCCTGCTCCTGCTCCTGCTCCTGCTGCTACTGCTACTGCTACTGCTACTGCTACTGCTACTGCTACTGCTACTGCTACTGCTACTGCTACTGCTACTGCTACTGCTGCTGCTACTGCTACTGCTACTGCTACTGCTGCTGCTACTGCTGCTGCTACTAATGTGGAGTCTCCAGGCGAAGGAGAACCACCGGCCCAGCTCGATGACCCCCCGCGCCGACCGGGAAAAGATCTTCTGCCAGGCTCTGGAAGCCAGGGCTAACCTGCGTTTTGCCGGGGCTATTTGGAGATCATGGGACTTTGTATCTAGGGTTATAAGTAAGGTAACTATAGTTATAATTACTTATAACCCCAATGAGGGTGCTTATAACCTTACTTACTAAGTCCCATGATCCTCTAAGCACCGGTACCTGCAGGCTGCTTTGCATAAGATTTCCTTCTACCGCAGGGCTGATTTGGGGCTGACCGGCATCTTGTGCATTTATGAGCGGATCGGGAGAGAAGAGTTTTGAAGAATCTGTGCATGCCAACAGCAAGTAAGACTGTCCAACCTTGCACTCCTTGTCCCGCGCGCAGAGGGGGGTGGACAAAGAAATGACACGTCGTCGTGGCGGAAGGTGCTGATGTCTCGGAACCGGAAATGACCCAGACTGACATGACACCCTACGAAATGCCCGGAACTGAATCCCTCCATAATCCTACATGTCCTACAGTGGTTCCTGTTTTAGGAAGGATGAACACATGTACAGGATTCTCAATGCTTGCGGAAACGCGCGATTTTTCTTCAGTGTCTCGTGTTGCTTCAAAGGAATTGAATATCAAAGCACCAGGCAGATCCAAGACAGGCCTCAGCCTCCTGTCGTGCCGATGAAATCGCTCGTAAGTGCTGTCAGGAAAGCGAGCAAGAGCAGCTGAAACGCCGCTCGGGGCCCCAGAAGAAAACCACGGGGTTCTTCGTGAAGAAGTAGAAGTCGTGCTACCATCCCCGGTAGTTCATACATCATTACATTACGACTGGCACCCCCAAATCTATGAACATGCGTGTTTAGTGGTGTAGGCTTCCCTTTGACCTCTTCAGCAGTTAAGACATCCTGAATGAGTTTCGGCTCATCAGTGGACCCCATGGCTTCCTTTATGCTTGCATTGTTTAGAAAGGCGCAAGCCAAATCCCATGACTTGCCTTAGTCTCGGATGTAAGGTGTTGAGCAGTGCCCGATGTTTGGGTATCGGGACTGAGGGTTCGGGACCCCGGAGCAACAAGCCAAAACTTTTGACCAGTTTAAACAGCTTTCGCTTCAAGCCGCTTCTCTCCGAAAGTGCCAAGCCCAAGCTTCTTTCCACCTGAGCCGTCGCAGAAGTCGGTGCAAAGCGCTATCCGCAAAACCCACCACCTTTGTAAAAACACCCTGTTATCCCTAAAACCCAAACCTAAGATCTTCGAAATCTGTCCCTGCTGCTGCTGCCAGGCCTTCCTTGTACCACCCACAAGCCCCATGAAAAGTTCTACTATAATGTGACCCACAATACCGTTCTAATTTTTGAGGTCTACGCGGAAGACATGAAAAACCGCGAGCTGTGCGGCCCTACCGAGGGCCTCATGTTTCCGGATTTATCCCTGCCGTTCGTGGAGGCGCTATGGAGGCCACAGTTGCTGAAGGCGCCCGCAGAGGCGGAGTTGGCGCAGGAGGAGGCAAAATACGGAGGCCATCCGCAACACAACGCCACGGGCACCCCCCATGGGCATGGAGAAGCAGCTCGGGCCTCCTACATCCTGCTCCTCTTCGGGCTGTGCCTGCTGCTCTGTACTACAGAGCAACAGACACATCCCGAAGAGGAGCAGGATGACATGGAGGAAGAGGAAGAAGAATTCACCGACGATGAGGCTCCGGCCGACCGCTTCTAGCGCAGTGAAGAGCCGCTGTTTGATCCTTCCCGACCAGCAAGCACGTAAAAAAGTAGCATAGTGTAACTTACGGCAGGGGCCTGAGGGGCAACATGTGTGAAGTCGGCAGATCCCCGACCAGAACACCAACACCACGAACGATCTCCTCATGGCCCTCCGCAGTGGTAAGAGTGACAATCCACCCTTCAGTGGCGACGGCGTGCTGATCTTTCGGCTCACTCGCAAAGCCCATGTGCCATGGAGCTTGCGGGCAGTATTTGTTCTTGAGGGTTGGCGGCGGGCGGCCAGAGCCCGAATCATGCTTGCCCGTCAAAAATGTTGACGAGCCTGGCCAAATTCGTGGCCGCCACCATATCAGCGCAAGGAGGAAAATGTTGCTCCTGTCCTTGGCCGGGGATCTGCTCTGCCAGTGCTAGTGGAGATACGGTGGACTATGTGGAGCCTTGCCTGCCTCGTGCGAGCATGAGCGTCGAAACCCCAAAACCTAAGCCCTAAACCCTAAGCCCCGAAATCCCAAACCCCTAAACCCTAAACCCTACCCCTGCGAGGAGGGGAAAAACCCTCCTGTCTTAGGCTTGCTGGATGAAGAGAAGCGAAGGGCGCAAGCCGAGGCCGGCTGAGAGTTTTTACTTCACACGGGGGGCCTTGAGAGTGTGGGTTTAGGGGTTTCGGGTTCAGGGTTGGGGGTCGGGGGTTTAGGGGTTAGGGTTCAGGGTTGGGGGTTTAGGGTTTTGTAGGGTTTTCGGGTTGTTCAGAACTTGTCTTGCGTGTCAACATGCAGTTGTATTGGGACAATGAAAGGGATGGGAATCCGAGTTCAGGGTCTTCAAGGTCAGGATTGTAGAAGCTTGTTGCGGCATTGAGTGTTTCGGGTTCAGGGTTTCAGCGGTTTGAGTTTGGGCTGACAGGTACACCGTTTCCCCAAGTCTCAACTATGAAGTATGCAGGTATCTTGCGCCTGAACTCCGAAGTCGCACCTTGAAGCCAGGTTTGCCCGAAGCGAAATCTTCTACTGGTCACCCTCAAGACCCACAAGCGCTAAACCGTAGGCCGTAGACCCCGTCCTCTAACTAAGCAAACATGGAACCCCCGAATTTCTGTTTTGGAAAGGGCTAAACACAGTCGTGCATACGGGTCCCTTCTCTCCGGTTTCCCTCAACTTTGGCTTCGGATCACGGTCAGGTGGTCCTTGTTCCAATAACTGAGTTTGACTTCCCACAGCTACCAGCTTTTGTTGGCGTATTTTAACAGTCTTTTTTTGCCGGTTCTTGTGGGCTTCCGTAGGGTTTCTTCGTGCATTTAGATTAGAAATGTTTGTGAAATAGCATTAAGGTTAGGACAAAGCGGTGTAATGCAGAAGCCTGAACAATTACCACTCTTATTCCCTGGGGTTCCTGATTTGAATGATACTAGCACATACCCCAAGAATCTGATCCTGAGCGTGAAGGCCCGTTTAGCGTTAATTACGCATAATTCCCTATGACCCGAAACCCAATCTTTTCGTCTACAGACCTCGCCTGTATTGCCGAGTGTTCCCCCCGACCACGCCCGATAGACCTCGCCTGGATTGTCCGAGTTATGAGAGTGTAAACCCCACAGTATAGTAAACCCTAAGCCCCCAAAGTTCCCTGTGCGGCATTGTTCAGCTGGGCGGGTGGCAAAGAAAACCCCAAAGTACAGATGCTTTACAGTTGTTTTGGGGGTTGCGGAAGGCTCGAGCCTCGGACCTCCTGGTGGCGAAGAAGGCGAGGAATCCGCACGGAGGGTTTAAGTGGTTCGGGCCTTTAGGGATTAGGGCTTCGGGTTTTGGGCTCAAGTTTGCAGGTTTAGGGGTTTACGGGTTTGGAGTTTACGGGTCGCGGGTTGAGGGACTTAGGCTTTGGAGTTTAATCTAGGGTTTAAATGCTTAAATCTCATGGATCCTTGCCTGCCTTGTGCGAGTAGTAAGAGCCGATGATTACCAAATCCTCGAATCGCCGGATGTACCCTCACAGATTGACATGGTCTCATAAGGCTAAGGGAACTACGAAGGGTCGCTATAAGGGTAACTCATGGTGAGCAATAGTAAGAGAGATACAAGGGTCGGAATACTTCGTCGGCGACATGCCCTGAGAATCCGTCATGGAACTGTTGTACAACACACACCAGGAACCGTTCGAAATATTCTGGCCCCTGTATGCAACCCCGTAAGACTCCACATGTTTTTGTAGAAACCCTTTGCTCGCAAGGCGGCAGCAAACGCGCACGCCAGGGCCCCAGCAAGTTGGGAGTTTCCAAAACCCTAAAACGCAATCTCACTATGCAATTGTTGATGCCATCATGACGATTCCTCCTAGTGAAGTCTCACTCGTCAGACTCCTAACCACATGCCTCGCCTGGATTGTCCGAGTGTGAGCGCCGAAACCGCAATCTCGACCCGAACTGGTAAAATCCGTATGATGACTGTTCTGACTTTCAAGGACCCGTAAATCCCAGATACTGATTAACCTGAGACCATAATAGTTCATGCTCGCCAAAAGCCCCGCAGTCATGATGCGGCCAGAGCAGGTGCAGCTGCAGAGTCAGGAGAGGAAGATTGAGCAGCTGCAGAAGGACTCATGACTACAGTGACTACAGTGTATAGAGACTGTAAAGGTTTCTTGCTTCTTGGTGTGAGATAGCTTGGGCTTGAATGGTGTATGCTCCATGCAGTTGTATGGGCGGCTTGCGTGTTTTCGCTGCATCTAGAGAAGCTTTGTGAGTATGGCCGGCGAGGAGCTCGAAGACACGTGCCTGGCGCGGAAAGAGGCCGCAGTGTTTCGCAAGCTCAGTGTAGCGACTTGCCAGCTAATATGGACCAACAGGGTGGTCTCTACAGGGTACGACCAGTAGTCCATGTACTTTGCATAGTCCAAGATGAGCCTGCAAACTACAGGTTGAGGACGGTACGCGATGGAAGACACTATGCTACATCGCAGTGCACTACCATGAATGACGCTTTGCTGCCCCGCACTGTGCTGACCTGTACTGTATATCACACGACATGGAAGGCAGTGTGTGTTGTTGTTGTTGTTGCATTTCTTGGGCAAGAACTGTCTATTCAAGACGACGTGTCAGGCTCAGCGGCGAGCTTGTGACCTTGAAGCTGACCGAGGGCGGGTGAAGAAGGCCGCTCAAAGTTCAGATGAAGATGTCAGCAAACATGACGTAGTGCAATGATGGCGCGTTTGGTGTAGTCAGCCTTGCGGCCGGCCTGCAGTCGATCTTATGGCTCGGAGCCTTTAGGAGAGGTCGGCTATGGCGAACCAAGTCCAAGTCCCAGATGATGGACGCTGCATCTATGTTGGGGGTCTTCCCAAGCATGCAGAGTGGCAAGAGCTGAAGGACCACATGAAGACCGCGGGCGAGATCGAGTACTGCGATGTGCTGTACAACGACTGGGGCCAACCGCGGGGTATCGGCTTCGTGCGCTACAAGACCGAAGCTGAAGCCCAGCAAGCTATTGCCAGCCTTGATGGCAGCACAATGGAAGGCCAGATCTGTTGCTGCAAGAATGAGTGACCTCGTAGCATTGTGTACAAGTCTGTACTGAAGTAACTGTAGTGATATGTAAAAGTCGCCAAGAAGAGGTCCAACCGAAGTGCGATCGATTCTTGAAGGCATCTGGCAGAGTAGCAGAGCAGTACCCTTCTGCAGTACCCTTGCATGGTGAGTCCATGCCGAAAGCATAATTCAGAACCCCTAGCTTATGGAATTGTAGCTGCTAAGCGGTGCAGAGCATCCCGGGGAAAGGCCCTGCAAATGCTGTGTCACCTAGCAGACCTAGCAACCTCACACATTGTATGTAGAAGCAGTGCTAGCAGCTAGCATCTTCCCCCCCAAGATACAGCTCCTGTCTGTCCCGGAGGCAAAGCCGTCCAGGTGTCTCCGTGGACTGGGCGACCACCTAACCCAAACAGCCCCGGGAAGATGATGTACCAGATGATGGCCTGGTATGGAGGCGCACAGAAGAGGCTCAAGGTTGACCCTGAGAAGGCCACCCTAGTGGATCGGGTCAAGAACTTCCAAAAAGCAGGCCCGGACAAGAAGGAGCTTTGGTATGCCTTCTGCGGCGAAATGAAGGATCCCGCGCGACATGACATAGACAAGCTTAAGGAGTTTGTTGCCCTGCACTCGGTGCCATGACCCGTGCAATCGGCATTCGCTTTGAGAAGCAGTCGAAGCACAGCTAAGTTGACAGCATCGTCACCCTTCCCCCATGCAGACGTCCCTGCCAAAGCGATTGTCGTGACCACCACCACTCAACACAGTCACCAGAACATCCACTATCTAACAGATCATAACCACAGGAGTAGCAGTAGCAGTAGCAGTAGCAGTAGCAGTAGTAGTAGTAGTAGTAGTAGTAGTAGTAGTAGTAGCAGTTGCCAGTGGATGGACTTGAACGAGTGTGAGTTCTCGTACCTTTGTGTAGTGTGGGAGTCGCCTGGAAGTAATTTGCTGCGCTTGCGGCGTTTCAATGTGGACGCTTTGCTGTTTTGTAGTCTTCCTAACCCTCGTCTGACTTGTCAAGCACGAGTGACAAAAAGTAGTAGCAGTAGCAGTAGCAGTAGCAGTAGCAGTAGCAGTTAGCAGTAGCAGTAGCGTAGTAGTAGTAGTCGTAGTCGTAGTGGTAGTGGTAGTAGTAGTAGTAGTAGTAGTAGTAGTAGTGTAGTAGTAGTAGTAGTAGTAGTAGTAGTAGTAGTAGTAGTAGTAGTAGTAGTAGTAGTAGTAGTAGTGGTAGTGGTAGTAGTAGTAGTAGTAGTAGTAGTAGTAGCAGCAGTAGTAGTAGTAGTAGTAGTAGTAGTAGTAGTAGTAGTAGTAGTAGTAGTAGTAGTAGTAGTAGTAGTAGTAGTAGTAGTAGTAGTAGTAGTAGTAGTAGTAGTAGTAGTAGTAGTAGTAGTAGTAGTAGTAGTAGTAGTAGTAGTAGTAGTAGTAGTAGTAGTAGTAGTAGTAGTAGTAGTAGTAGTAGTAGTAGTAGTAGTAGTAGTAGTAGTAGTAGCAGCAGCAGTAGTAGTAGTAGTAGTAGTAGTAGTGGTAGTGGCAGTAGCAGAAGCAGAAGCAGAAGTGGCCGTGGCAGTAGCACCAGCAGCAGCAGCAGCAGCAGTAGCAGTAACGGTAGAGGCAGCGGCAGCGGTAGCAGTAGCAGCAGTAGTACAGCAGCAATTGCCAGTCACTCGTTACTAGTTACTCGTCACTCCTTACTAGTGGCAACGACGAGTGCGACTTCCACAGCGAAGTAATTACAAAGCAAGAACTACGAACGACTGACAGTAGCCAGTAGACTGGTAAGCGCCAGATTAACAGGTACACTACTGTGACGGCTAGTTCTTCTGTCATCGATTGCCCATGCACGGGTACGCCACCAGCAGATTCTGGACCTCCAAGTCCGGGTAGAGAGGAAGCTTTGTACTATGAGTCTTCGACTCCTGTCCATGGCCGAGTGGCTTTGATCTTGAGCCGGGGGTTGTGACAAAAGAACCTTGCACTCGGATGCTTCGTTCCAGTTGTGAGTCTCGGAGCTAGTAGTGAGACTAGATCCCGTTTGGACAAGAGCTAGAAGGAACTTGCGTGTCTGTGGCCGGAGTGCTGGCTCATAGTTGATTTGAAGACTCCAGAGCACGTTATAAGTGCCTGCTATGGCAAATCAAGTCGCAGACGATGGCCGCTGCGTCTTCGTCGCGGGCATTCCCAAACATGCAGAGTGGCAGGAGCTGCAGGACTACATGAGGACAGGGCAGCATGGCATCTAGCAGCTTGCGGTCTGCCCTGACAGATTGTCTGCTTGTGACACGACCTTGTCAAGGACTGCGGGTGAGATCGAGTACTGCGACGTGCTGTACAATGATTGGGGGCAGTCGCGAGGAATCGGCTTCGTGCGCTTCAGGACCCAAGCAGAAGCCCTTCAAGCCATTACCAGCCTCGACAACAGCTCGATGGAAGGCGCGACATGTGGTGCGGAGGTTTAGAAAATTGAGGCCTTCCAGGATGACTCGTCACGTTCATAACTTTCCTGTTAAGGTGGTGCTTTGTGAGCTCATCACATGTCCATGTCTCGTCCATCAGTCGGTGCAGCATTGCTCCTTGAGGCAAGACAGTGCACGTGTCTGCGTGGACTGGTCGGGCACCGAACCCCAACAGCCACGGAAAGATGATGCACCAGATGTTGGCTTGGTATGGACGTACCCAGAAGAAGCTGAAGCTGGACCCCGAGAAGGCTGCCTTGGTGGATCGGATCAAGAGCTTCCAAAAGTCCGGCCAGGAGAAGAACGAGACCTGGTATGCCTTCTGTGGCGAAGTGAAGGATCCGGCCCGGCATGATGCAGAGAAGCTCAAGGAGTTCATTGCCGTGGCTGCGGTGCCTTGATGTGTGGCCTGAAGTGGTATGTCTCTTGCAAAAACAGCAACACATGCAATGATGTGTACTCTAGGATTCCGCAGTGCACTGCCGGCAAATTTTTTGTGGACCTGCGGACAAGTACAGATATCAATGAGCACAGACTCTTGTGAGGGGGTGGAATCCCGGGAACCAGCGAAACGTGCTTCATGTGAAAAATTGCGGAATCCAGCCTTGCGCCATGGTTTTAAGACAGCATTGAGCACCCCTTTTGTGCGTCTCTTCTCACAACTCGCCACGACCGGTCCTGTTGTTCTAGACTCTACATCACACGAGCAATTTGGGGGTTCCTTTTTGCTCTGATTCATCTTGAGCCACCTGAAAATATGGTTCATGTTGGGCCCAGCAGAGCCATCGGCGCGCGAGACTTGGGAGGCTCTTTACGACAAGGAGAGAGAGCTGGTGGCCTCGCAGCGCAGCCTGGCACTCGTCAAGGCCCTGAGGATCTTTGTGTGTGTGTGTGTGTGTGTGTGTGTGTGTTTATATATATATATATATATATATTTACTTATTTAAAAGCACAGATATGTTTATGTTGTGCTTATATACATATAGAGGTGTGTGTGTGTGTATGTACGTCGGTACGTATGTACGTACGTATTTAAACGTATATATATATATATATATATATATATATATATATATATATATATATATATATATGGATATATATATATATATATATATATATATATATATATATCTATATATATATATATACATATGCTCACAAGTATGTTTCTTTCTGTGCCTGTTTTTAATATGTTTATGTATTCATTTGTTCCTTGCTGTTCCGGTCGAAGTAGTCTCTTCGTTTCTGTATGTGCACATACATGTGTGCACTGTATTGTGTTGTTTGAGTTGCTTGTGTTGTAGTCCATTCTATGCGGCTCTCAGCTCTGTCTCTCCTTCTCTCGACATATTCTATGCACACGTGATCTCTCATCTCTCCTGCGCACCTACCTACCTACCTACCTACCTCCTCACCTACACCCACCTATACCTACCTACACCTACCTGCGCCAACCTGGAACTACCTACACCTACCCACCTACTTGCCTACCTACCTACCTACCTGTTACGTATCACCTCACACCGATTGCGGATTACCTATTACCTATTACGTATTACTACCTAAACACCTACATCGACTTTCTATCTATCACCGGCCTATGCAGGATGTGCCCTCAGGTTTTGACTCGTAGCTTTTTTGGAGAGGCTCATGGCTGAAGCCTTCACTTTTTCTCGCCGAGTTGTACCATGGTCCCCTGAACCCGAAAGCGTGCCCGTTGCGGTCCATGCTGGCTCGAAACAGCTGCTGTACACAAGCCAGACCAACAAAATGATGGAAGGTCAATGACCTTGAGACCAATCAGAAGACCCAGACCATGAGCCATCCTGACCCTAAAGCCCGTACCCTGAACCACAGCCGCCGGAACCCTGAATTGCCAAATGAAAACTGGGAAAACCGTAGATGCTAGAGTCTGTCTACCCTCATATCATCCTTCAACAAACAAACCCTCAACCCCAACGTCCTAAGCCCTACACATTAGCCTTACGCCATCCGCACCCCAAGCGCCGAAGCATTCCCGGAAACGTGTAACTACAATAATGAGGGGAAAGAGGCGATCAACCCAAGACCCTCCAGGTAAGCTCTAAGCCCGGACCCTATCCCCCTTAAGGCTCAGAGCCCAGAAGCAATATTATCATGCGGGAGCCAAAAAATATTGTGCTACATAATGTCATATTAGAATATATCACACGTGATGGTACATAAGGTCGTATAATGAAATAACATCATAATATGTTATCAGCTCAGAATAGAGGGATGTCGGCCCCTCGGCGAGTCGGGGCGCGGAAGCTCTCGCTCTCCTGCGCTGCAGCGACCCTGGCTTCGGCCGGCCTCGTGCAGAGGTCTGGGCCCCAAGCCTCTCCGGGTCCCTTCTAAGGGTTCCTTACAGGGATCTATAAGGGTTTCTATGGGCTATAGTAGTGGGTTCCTTTAAAGGGATCGGTTTCTTGAAGGGATCTATAATGGTTTCTATGGGGCTATAATGTTACTGTAGCCCTAAATCCTACCCCTTGGTAGCGGAGCAGGTAACCTTAAACCTTGTGGGGTTTTTCCTACCATAATTCAAAAGGTCAACCTTTTTTGCGGCCAGGGTAATCAGTTTCTAAGAAACAGAGGTGCTACTTAATGTAGTGTGAAAAACCAAAAGATAAACAGATCGATAGCTAGGTGCACTAACATACATGCATACATGCGTGATAATTGTTCTGCACACGTCAAAAGTATATACATACATGCATGCTTACATACGTACACACATGAATGTATGTGTGTGTGTATATCCCCAAGAAGACCCACCTGAACAAAGCCTGGACCAAGATGTGCAGTCATAGTGGACGCGTACTGCAGCTAAGACCTGAGAAGCATCTACATAGATATGCAATGGTGTGCTTTGGCCGTGCCTAGGGCGGCTGCTTGAAATGAGTGTTCTTCAGGGTTCAGGGTTTATGCCAATGAGTTTTATGTAGATAGGGTCTAGGGTTATTGGGATAGGTTTGACTACTTGAGTAAGCATCATTGTTATCAGTTCTAGCATTACTACAAGTATTAGCGTCAGACTCAATATTCGGATAATCATTAGTCTTAGTGTTAGTGGGTGTTAGTGTTCGTACTAGTACTGTGATAGTGATAGTTGTTCTTTTTGGTATCAGCATTACTATTGTATCAGGCTCTCCGAGGTTTGGCGCATGGATCGGAGCCGACAGGTCAATGTGACACATCGGCTCGAGCATCTGCAGATTCAAGATGGCAGAAGCTTGCTGAACCGACCGAACATAGCAAAACTGAGTTTCGTTTCATGTTTATGTAACCCAGCAATGACAGCAATGTAGTTACATCTTGCGGAGATTGAGGCAAGCAGACAGTCGTTAAGGACGCAGGAACTCGGAACAACCTAAACCTTGAAAGCTTCAACCTAAACCCTTTTCCATGTGCCCCAAGCCCTCGACATTATCATGTAGCAGGTGTACGGACAAGATGCCCCACTACAATACATACGAGTTTTTGACCACTTGGGGCCTAGCCCACAAGATCCGGAAGCTCAGACTAAACACACACACACACATGTGAATATCTACATATGTATATACATATATATATATGTCGGTATATATGCATTCGATATTTATGTCATGTTATGATGTATGATCAGCTCGCACGTTTCGCGCCTCTGCCTTCCAACATGTCGGCACCTGGACCTGGCCTTTCGCCGCGATTGGCGAAGCTCAGACAAATCATACAGAGCATTCAGGGTTCCTTTAAATGGGCTCCTCCGAGGATTTCTTTAAGGGCTCCTTGAAACGGTAAGGAGCTTCAGTACCCCGAGTAAGGAGCTCCCAAGGCACGAATTCCTGAAACCCTGGCGGCATCTGCCGAGATGTGGCTCCAGCCGCTAGTCCTTCACTCCAATCCCCCATTCCAAGCCTGACCCGGCCTTGAAGAAGAGTCGCTCATAGCTGCACAGCCGCTGAGGGTGGCCGCCATCCTCAAAGGCAGTCTTGCGGTGTTTCTTTCGTTCAGCAGGTTTCAGGGGATCTGTGATTGCGGTGGCTGCGGTTAGGTGCTTGAGTTGTTCCGTGGCAGGCATGGTGGCTGTATGCTGTTTTGGCTTTTCGTTTGGGGAGACGCTGGAGTCAATGAAAGGGTCTTCAGGCCCGAAGGACGAGGTGGGCACGAAGGCAGGAATGCAATAGCATCCAAAATCTAGCCTGAGACCATTGCTTGAAAGTGACGTAGTGCAGATGTATGGGTGTATGATTTGTGAAATACCTTTTGCTGCACAGTACGGGTTCTTGTTGATGTGGCACTACACTGTGTCAACTCGCATACAACTACGAGACAATAGCAGCAGTGCAGAGTTCACGATATCTGCTGAGGCTTCTAGCGCCCGCTGAAACCCACACGTGAATCTTGTTTACAGTGTTTACAGCATTGCATAGGCTTGAGTTGGTTCCTTCAAAGCCCCGATGACAGAAAGAAAACAAAGACCCGCAATTTCATCATGATGAGAACCAGGAACAAACAATTACACCAAAGAAGAAGCAAAACTCCTAACATCTGTTCATGTAGGATTGTCTTTGGAGAAGTCTTTTGTCTCGGGAACGCGACAGCACACCTCATCCAAAAAAGCTTGGAACTGCCGTAGTTATAACAGTAGTATGACTATTCTAATAATACTCATTATTCTTAGTAGTAAGAATACAGATGCCGCAGGCATGATGGGAGCTGGTGTCCTGAGCTTGCCGTAGCTTGGCGGCCACGTCGATCTGCTGATGCGCTACCACAAACTTTGTGCATGTGAGCCATAGCCCGAACTCAACAAAGATCTCAAGGAACAGCTGCACCTCGGTCGCGCAGCAAAACCCTTGTAAGCCGAATCAGCGACGAAGCGGATCCTGCCCGGGTCCACTAGTTGAGGTATGTTTTCGGCTTGGTGGGCCTGGCTTTCGCAGTGCCAGGCTGGACACTCCAGTTTTGCATGTTTCTTTATTACAGGTTAGTTGTTATATAGTGCATACTTTATGTTATATTAATGTCCAAAGTCATGGGGGCAGAGCATGGACGTGGCTAATGACGATCATGGCAGGTTGATGTTGCTGAGTTGGGTTGGCTGGAGGCACATGTCTTTGGCTGCACTGCCATTTGAAGAATCTTGCGATTGTTGGGTTGGGAAGTAAGCAGCGTTGCTGGCAATCGTTGTTGACCCAGTCATGAGAAGTCATTACTAGGTTAACTTAGTATCAACCTTTTGAGCCCAACCACAGGCCGCCTGATCCTGAATGGCTGAGGTTACTTGGTCGTAGCAGCCATCTGCTGCTTCAGTGTATGGCGCATCATTCAATGCGAGGCTTGGCTTGCGCGCTTATGTACCTCCTTGCCCCCCTACGCCTGCCTGCCGGCTTGGCCGCCTACGTAACTACGTTAACATCTACCTCCCGTTAGATTGCTACCAATGTGGGATGCGTTCACGGATCCGCGTGCTTTGCCCTCGCAGGCCATACTGGGAGACTCTCGGGTTCTCGACCCCGACACGTCTACGGACGAGGCCATGTCCAAGCAGGACCTTCGGATCTTTGACGATTCATTAGCCGCAGGAGAGCATCAAGCCGGAAAGCAACGTGCGGCTTCAACCCTGTGTCCTGCCACACTTGAGACTGAAGGTTCCAAAGCTCTGACCTGAGTGTGAGTCGCGGTGGTGCAAAGAACAGAACACCAGAACCTGCAGAGCTCGAAGCATTGGAAGGATTTCGGCCTCGGCCCGTTGGCACAGGTTGCAGCACACAGCCTCGGTTTAGCTGGGGCACCTTGTCATGACTGATTTTTACTGCTCAGAAGGATTTTGTGATCGTCGTGATCTAGATGTAGGATGGTGATGATGATGATGATGATGGTGATGATGCCGGCGGTTTCCGTGGAGACGGAGATTGCCTGATCTTGCTGACGAGAATGTCGATGTTGGTAGTGATCGTGATGGTGGCTGCGGTGCCGATGGCAGCCGCCCTAATGGCTCTTGATGTTGCCTTCCTCGTTCGTTCCGGTTTGGGTGCTGCAGTATCACCTTTTTTTTGGACGTATTAATGTTGGAATCTAGATCAAGCTTATGTGTTCATGCACATGGGCATGCTTGCGGTTTTGGAGCTTCAGGGCAATTTGTTGGGATTCAGGGTCAGAGTCAGGGCTTCATCGTGGCGCAGAAGGACCTACGCAGAGCCGACTACAATCAGTTCATGCCCGATTTTATCTATCTACCGTCGATTTTTCTGCCCAGCGTCGCATCTCACTTGCACCCGAGGTTGTCCTCGCTGCATTCGGCATCATTGTCTCCCAGGTGCTGCTCATGTTTACTGGGTTGTGTGGCGGGTTTCAAACTCATTGCCACACGAGGGTTCAATCTCATTCATCTCGTAGCGCACGTTTTTGCAGAGCGCGGTCGAAGCCAAAAAAGCCATCTTCCCAGTTGGGCTTTTGCGTGGCGTACGTGGACATCATCATCACCACCCTGCTGGAGCCCAACCTGCTCGCAGACAAGATCCCGGAAAGCGTCTTGCGCGTCGGCCTGGCCGTGGCAACCTCAGACCTGAATTGCGTAGTGGACCTTGAGCCATTTGCCTCGCCAGGATTGTCCGAGTGTGAGCGCCGAAATTGCTACGGCTCAAGCTGCATTGAACTCAAAAGTTAGTTCGGTGACTTGAAAGCCACTGTCGGCGCACATGTGTCTGCCGGCACACATCCTTTTGTTCTGGTGCTTGCTGGCTTGGCGTGTCGCGTGCAATTGTGAAGACACTGACACTGACTCGCAAGCGCTGCTTGCCATTGCATCGGAAGAGGCGGACTCCTGGCACAATGCCAGGCTGCTGCGCTGCGCTCGAGCTCCAGCAGGCGATGCCTTCTGCTTCGACACCCCGCCACCTCCAGAGTTTTCGGTAACGTTTCGGCTGCGGAATGGACGAAGTTTCCGAGTCCGCACCTACAGCGACTGGGCCCCTGTTTTTGCCCAAAGGTTCTGGCAGATTTCCAAGCTGAACTGGTGGCGAAATGTGGCCATCTACCGGAACGACTACGTGAACGAGACTACCCGCTTCGTGAGCCAGTGGGGCTTAGTGGGCCGGCCCGCGGTCAATGATGCCTGGACCAAGTGGAAGACCAGCAACCAGACCGCGCCGGCTCTGAGATCCAATACGCGCGGTACCGTAGCCTTTGCCATGGGGGCCGTAGTTTGCCAAGCCGGGCCGGACGATCCCTGCCAGGACCTCCGTCCAAACTGCACGGCTGAGGACTACTGTGCTCTGGGCTTCACAACAGAGATCTTTGTGAACTTTGCCAACAACTCGAGATTGGATGCTCATGGTTTCGCTCCCTTCGGCGAAGTGGAGGAGGGCATGGATGTGGTTGATGACTTGGCACGAACTCTGGGACACCTCTATGGGGAGGTTCAAGAGTTGTGTCCACCCGAGCCGCCCGAGACATACTGCGTGTACCGTGATGGGCAGCGTGCCGGGGTCAATGCGACCCTCTTCCAAGCAGAAGGAAATCCTTACATCCGAAGGGACTTCGGAGAGATGTTTCGACTGAGGATCCGTTCCTCCCACGTCCACGTGCCACACAGAGGCTACTACTAGCCTGTCACTCCTCGACATGAGAGTTTCCCAGTTTCCTGCTCTACTTGAGAGCCAAAGTCCAAACCCCAAGCCATTGATGCCTGCCCCATGGTGCTCTGTTGGCTAAGACGACATGGCGGAAGGAAAAAGGCGTTGCGGCCGCTGAGCTGAAGCCTCGGTGGGCTTCCGCCTTCCGCGCCTAGAAGCCAAAAGATCTTGGGGCTGTTGATTCAGGGCTTAGTGCATTGCAGTCCGTGCTCAAAAAAGGGCTGTTGCATTAAGAGCCCAGACAACCTCTAAACCTATCAGCAACTAGTTGGGCAAAAGCCGGCTCCAGCCGAGCCTCGCAACGTTAGGTTAAACCGAATCCCGGAAGACTTTCAACAATCCGAATGTGTCATTGGTCTCTGTTTCTTCGGCGTTACTCGTCCGTGCTGGCTAGGAGCGAAAAGAGCTTGTGCACGGCTCAGGTCGTGCTGTGCCTGCTGTCTTCCCTGCGAAAGTTGGACAGTTTAGCGAAGGCTCGTCTGCCTTCCTTTCGGTCTGACTGATTAGAGAGCAAGACTTTTTGGTCTTGGTTTAGGGCTCTGGGTTGAGGGTCTAGGGTATGGACCTGGTTGGAAGAACTTAGGCCGAGTGCACAGACACACCCTCCTGTACAGATGGGCATAGATAAGGTACGACTCGTTCTCCGTTTTTTGTTAAAATCAAAGGGAAAAAGGAGGGACCCTTAATAAGGACCCCTAGGTATATACCCTTAATATAGCTAGATAAAAGGCTGTTGAACTCATTCCTTTCTTTTTGGCATTTTGGAGCTCGGAGTTGCTTTGTTGCCTGACCTTGGGGCCGCGTGGGACAGCACGCTTGTGCCGAACATCCGGGCCCTCAGAATGCTTAGAGGCATCTTGCCATTGCACAGCGAGACCCTTGAGGATGGCATGGCATGGCAGAGAGAGGGAGAGAGAGAGAGAGAGAGAGAGAGAGAGAGAGAGAGAGAGAGAGAGAGAGAGAGAGAGAGAGAGAGAGAGAGAGAGCGAGAGAGAGAGAGAGAGAGAGACTTTTGGCATGATGAGTTCTAGGACCGGTCCAGCTTCCGGAGCATTGCCCTGTTGATTCCAACAGCACTCGCACTGCTGTTTTTTCTCGTTGCAAACCCCCTGGGCCGGACTGATGCAACAAGTTGCTCGGGCGACACTGTCTCGCCAGATTTCTGTTCTGGCCTTGGCGGTCTACGCATACCTGCTGGTGGTCCTACCAATCCGATGGGGCACTGAAGAGTTGCGCCTTGATCAAAATGTGTGTTGCTTTCAGCCCCAGGTGCTTTTACGAACAGTCTTACGAGGGTTGCTGACAGGACGATTGTTGGAGGCTCATGTGGGCAGGAGGGGAAATTGAGACTGAGAACTGACGTCGGTTGCCCTTGATCAACTTCTTGGTGATCTCTGTAGGTCGCTGCGAAGGCCACAGGTGATTTAGAAAGGCCTGCGCTCTATTCGGTGAAGGGTTTAGGGCTGAAGGAGAACAGGTGCGAGACATCCAAGTGGGATTCACACAAGCCTGTGGAAAAGGGTAAAGTGTCCAGGCAGCCGATCTCCGAAGCAGCTAATATAGGTGCACGAATAACTAATGAGGTTATTCACTGGGGGCCCTTTTCATAGCTTTAATATGATGCCTCAAAACCTTACGTATGCCTTCCATCAAAGCCCCTATATGTGATGGGTTTCTGACTATTCGGTCTTCCGTGCCTGGAAGTCGGCACGCACCCCATCGATTGGCCGCTCTTGCGGCAGGCAACTTGAGCCTTTTGCAGTTCTATAGGAACCCTGCCCAACTCAAATGCTGTTGGAGGCTATATACTAGGACATGTGTATATAGAGTGTGTTTCTCTATGGTTATCAGTTAGCAGTTTATTCATCTGCTTCCTGGAAGCTTAATGGGAAAATCATGAAATCTCTCTGTCTCTCTTTTCTCTCTCTTTTCTCTCTCTCGTCTCTCTCGTCTTTCTCTTCTCTCTCTTCTCTTTCTTCTCTCTCTTCTCTCTCTTCTCTCTCTTCTCTCTCTTCTCTCCCTTCTCTCTCTTCTCTCTCTTCTCTCTCTTCTCTCTCTTCTCTCTCTTCTCTCTCTTCTCTCTCTTCTCTCTCTTCTCTCTCTTCTCTCTCTTCTCTCTCTTCTCTCTCTTCTCTCTCTCTCTCTCTTCTCTCTCTTCTCTCTTCTCTCTTCTCTCTTCTTTCTACTCTCTTCTCTCCTCTCTCCTCTCTCCTCTCTCCTCTCTCTTCTCTCTTCTCTCTTCTCTCTTCCTTCCTCTCTCCTCTCTCTTCTCTCTTCTCTCTCTTCTCTCTCTTCTCTTTTCTCTCTTTTCTCCGCTCTCTTTGTCTTTCTCTTTCTCTCTCTCTCTCTCTCTCTCTCTAACTCTCTCTGTATGCAAGGACAAGTGGGCGAGCCCCGAGCTTGAGAGGCAGATACCATTCTCACCGGGCAGCGCTTGCGAGGTTCAGAACTGACACATTCCAGCATTGTGACGCTACGCTGATCTCGTCATAACCTTCATAGTGCGCCAGTGATGCAAGAAGTTTTGCCCGAACAGTCCATTCTCGAGAAAATCGCATGCAGACTTCTGGCCCCATGGCCATCGTCGCAGGCGTGTGGGGGAAGTTTGAACCCAGCAACCTGGGACTGTGGCAGCTTTTCCGCAGCAATCGCTTGGGTTCTCGGCTGGTGGCATGTTTAAGCATCTTTCTCAAGTGTCGCTGTCTCTCAGGTTGGGAACGTCCATCTTTGCGCAGGAGGCTCTGCTAGGACCTATAGGGGTGTTCCCCACCTGCCAGCTGGCTGATGCGCAGGCGGTTGTTGTCAGCCAGTGCGTGTACCAGGAGAACGGTCTGCTGCAATTGTCACAAGGTGACAGAGGGAATCTTGAAATTGCATTCCAGGACATGCGCCTCAGGGATCACAGGGCATTCCGGCCAATCCTCGTGTCCAGCTTCGTGATCTGTTCTGTTGCAAGCACCGCTTTAGCGGCCTTTGGGTGCATGTGCTATGGTGCTTTGGCGGCAATTGACATGGGCTTTTGTATGCGAGTTTTCCGGAAGAGACGCATGATCGACATCTGCAGGCGACTCGGTCAAGCAGGTCTTCTATCTCAACTTCCCTGCCAGCAGCCTGGATGTGGCTAGACTGCCTTATCGTGTCACGAAGTACAGAACTGAGCAGCAAGCAAGCGCACCTTCAGAGCACGATAATCTGCGGATTCGCGTCCTGTTCCCGCAAGGTCAGCAGTAAATCATCTCAATGTGTGTTTCGATCGTTCTGTTGGAAATGTCGCATAGTGAGCTCTTCCCGTCGACGGCTGGAGTATGTGTAGGTAACGGACCACAGCTGCCTCCAAACCTACGTCTTCTCACCCTACGCACACTGCCGCCCCTGGCTTGGGGACAAGCTTAACGCATAGAATTCGAACTCAGAATCAGAATCGTTGCGTTGACTGCACATAGGTCACCATTGCGGAGACAATTCTTTGCCTCGTCCTGCTCCCCACCTTCGTCATCCAGCTGTGCCTCAGCCGCACTTCCTTGCAAAGCATGTTTTCCAGCGACTGTAAGAGATGGAACTTCTTGTGTAGAGTCGACATAGAAGACTTAGGCTCTTGAGGGCTTGCATAGCCTTGTGCAGCGACAAGGTATCCAGTGGCGAGGTGCTTCGATGAGCTCCTTGTCTGCAAAGCCTGCGGTTGCATCCATCAAGCTGCATTGACATCTTGCGCCGACCCTTCGACACAGACTGTTTTGTTATGTTTTGCCGGACTCTGTTGACGCGATCTGAGGCTTCTAACATGCGCAGGTTACGTCAGCCTTTCCTCGGATGACTCCGACGAAACCTTGGAAGACTCCGAGGAGGGCAGAGGTGCGGAGGGTTCTGCTAGAGAACGGGCCTTTTTCATGTGGTGCCGGGAGGCCAAAGTTGCCTGGTGAAAGTCCTCGCGCGGTGGTTGCTTGTGATCATCTCTTGCGTGGTGGCTGCGGCCGAGAGCCTCAGAACACCTAGTTGTACGCCACTTTAAATCCGCATGAGTTCGAGACTGCCAGAGGTGGTGCCGGACTTGGCCTGCATCTCTGGCTACAGCGGCAGCTTCGCGATGAGTTCCACGGCAAAAAAAGCCACTGGCCATTTTCACCCGATCCAACGACGGTTCCTGCTGCATTTCTGACGGAATCTGATCCAAACCAGTGCTATGCCATTAGAAGCGAAAGCCAAGGCGTGATTGGCTTCTTCCTGCCACCGCTATGCCATCTGAAGCTGCATCACTTCCGCGTGTCCACGTCTCTTTGTTTGCACAGCGCTGTAGGGTGCTAGTCGAGGGCTTGACGTAAGTTGTTGATGGTATCAGCAGTAGTAGTAATGCAGAAATAGTAGCAGAAAATATTAACAATGCAAGTAGTCACAATAGTTATTCATCCCTGCGTTCGTTCAAGACTCATGATCTCGAGGCTGGACTGGATTCTGAACGTGGGCTTGCTTGCAGTTGGGGTGACCGCTCTGGTCCTGGGTGTCAGCAATACGCACTGCGGCGCGGAGTGAAAGACTCGGCTTGGAATGTTGCAAAAAGAGGGCTGTCCAAAACCCTCTTCTGCAGGAATCGATTTGGGATGTTGTGCCGATAGTGGCCTTGTACATACTGCATGGGCAAGTCAGCAACTATCGCTGCTCGAGCTGTTTTCCCGGTGCGCTGTGCAGCAAGTTGGCTCTTGTCCATCGCTTGCGCAGAAGTGGTCAAGAGGAGTGGCAGGCGAAAGAAAAGTGGATGGTCGTTTTCCTTGAACTTCAATCCGTGCTCCTGGAGTAGATCTCTCCTGCCACCTTCCCTTAAGTGCAAGTTGAGACTTCGCCCCGAAAAGCCATGGCTCTCAAAATGACTGAAACCACCGCAGGGCCCTGACATTCGGCCCTGAGCCCTGAGCTCCGGTATTTGTTTTGAAGTGCAGCTCTGTAGATTTAGGGCATTTAGGGCGCGGGAGCGTCAGCGGTTTGCACTTGAGAACATGAGAGCCTCTCAACTCAGAAGTCTTGGATTTTTTTGAGTGGTTATTGGACCCTGCAAGCTCGGAAAGCCGCGAAGCCCCTACATCCGAGACATGGGAGTTGATGTCGGGAGCTTGCACCCCTAGAGTGCTAGTGTTTTCGTGACCCTCAGCTCTGAGATCCTAAACCCTTAACCTTGCCAGGCTTGTCCGAGTGTGAGCGCTGAAACCCTCAACCTTGAACCCCTAGGCCCTGAACCCTAAACCCGAGAACCTCGTGAGCGAGTGTGCGAGTCGAAACCCGAGAACCTCGCCTGGCATGTTCGAGCTGTGAGAGCATAAACCCGAAACTCGCCTGGATTGTCCGAGTGTGAGCGCCGAAACCCGAAACTCTATAGCTCCCACCCCCGAAGCAGCTAAGAGCTTCTCCACCAAATGAGGTGGCGGGCACCATCCTTCGCGGCTTTCTGGGAAGGTGGGCCTTTCTACTGTAGACGCGATCGCTTGTCGGGATTTCCTGGGTGCCGATTTAATGAAAAGAAGAGAGAAGTTGATTTCGGGTGTGAGGCTTCTGACCCAGGTGACGAACCCCAACCAGGGAACTGAAGAATCGCAGTTATATCTGCTAATCGGCAGAGTGCATATGCCCGGCATGGTAGTTGAAAGCACAAGTTTCCTGCAGCCGCTGAGCAAGAAGCAGTGATTGAATGAGACAAAAGCCTTAAAGTAAGCATGGGCACAGAAGCCTTGAAACAAGAAGATGCATCTATCGCATTGTACATGTCTCCACAGGTGTACATGCTATACTTGGGGCTGTCAGGAAGCCGGCGCCCACGCACGCGGCTTTCCGCCGTCTCGGAGGAGCCCGTGCGGTCCAACTGCCTCCCAGTGCGAACTACAGAGGTTACAACGTAGTCCTGAGATTCTCCCGCTGGTGCGAAAAATCACGTTTGCTGCGGCTTTGAAGGATTGAGCCTTAATCCTTTGGCAACTTTCCATCATGCAATGGTTGCCGACTCTCTACCCACATATGCCTCGCGACATCCGGCTTACACCTCACGGAACGAACACTTGAACACCAAGGAAAAGTATACAACAAGAAATATATATATATATATATATATATATATACACACACACACATATGTTACGACGACAACATTCCAAGCCTCCTGGTGTCTGTTGCGAGAATTTGCTTCTGTAACATGGCGTTCAAATCTTACCACGGGCTTTGAAAGCAGTTGGGCGAGTTCCCGCACTCGGCAATTGCATACCAGGGGCTTGAGCAGCTGGAACAGTATGCCTGACGGTCATTCATAAAACTATAGGTATACACCAAGCCATATTCTGACTATTAAGGCCCGCCTGTTGTCCAAGCCACCCTAAGCCCAGAACCCTGAAGCATCCTCTCAGTAGCCCGCAACCCTAAACCCTAAACCCTAAACCCTGGCAAGGACAACCTGTTGGGACTGGATCAGGAGACAGTCGACTTGCACAGGACTGGCAGCGAGCAGTAGGGGAATCTGGGATATCGGACGGTTTGGCCATCAAATAATACAGGGGCCTTAATAATTAAGCCTTAAGAATTAGAATAAGGTTTTGGGGCCAGTATACTTTAAGTATAGTAGGGAACCACCAGAATAGGATAGGTAATTATTTAGGCCCCTACAGTAAATCCATATCCTCCCGAACCCGATTTTGCTGCAGGTTTTTTCGTCACTTCTCAGCTCGGTGCTGCAAATCAATAGCAAGACACGGTTGGCATGGCCACTCCACTCTTGCATAGGCTAGTGCTTTAGGGATCAGGGTTTATGTAGGGATGGGCCGGGATCTGAAATCCGAAACTGATCCTTCCTGCAAGGAAGTACCACGATGCGACCATAACATACACAGCCGGGGGCTGAGCCGTGAGTGATGCACCCGAGATGCTAGTCGCCGCTCCCCGAAGCTGAAACCCTAAGGCTATATCATTATCATGTCATGTTAGGGTGCCGTAGTCTCTAGCTAGGACTGATTGTTGTGGATTCTTTCCCATATTATAGTGCCGTTTCACCCAGCCGGCCTCGAACCATATTAGCCTGCATTGTCCGAGCCTGAGCGCCGCAACTCTAGACCTTACATCAAGGCAGGAGGGAATAAAAGCCTTACATCACTAGACCCTCATCCCCAGTCAAACTAGTGTACAAAACCGGGCCTGGGGGTTCGGGAAGCCTGCATGCATTAACAACGCCGGACCCGTGGGTACTTCTGTTGTATGGCTAGCCGGCGGCTGTACTGCAAGCAGGTGCGCAAGGCGAGTTCGGCTTTCGGAGGGTCGTCCCTTTACTTGGGTGTGTACTTGCGGTTTTGCTAATTTCAGAGGGCCCTCCAGAAACCTGAGACCTTCAATCAACCAGTGGTCAGTTTCGGACGATTTCCCTGCTGTGCGGCTCTGTCAGCTGGGCGGGTGGGAAAAATCCCTGAACCCGAGTCCTTATGAACTGCCTAGCGGGTCGGATCTGCGAGTGCAACAGGCCAAAGCTCCATAAATCCCGGTAGTGGCAAGAACTCCGTGGCTGCATCAGGCCATGAACATTGATTGGGCTCAGGACAAGGCCGGGACTCGTTATTGCGATTGGAGCCTTCTTTGGGTCCCCTTTGCCACGCCACTGCTATCACAGGGGCGCCGATCAAGACCCTATCGCAGTTGTTAACTAGATGTGGCTCCGCGCAAGGGGCCTTGATGACTGTCGTTTCCGGAAAATTGACAAGGGCAGTGGTAACGGTTTTTTCACTCACCAAACACTTCAGCTCGAAACCGCAGAATCCCAACCGATGAATCTCTCGCAATTCGCGGAGTGCGAGCGCCGAAACCCTTGCGGCCTGAGAAAGCCAGGGCTACGAGAACGATGGGGACCTTTCCGAAAGCGAGCGGGATGCCGTGGCCGGCAGCCCAGAGGAGAAAATGGAGAGACTTCCATGTAGTATCGACGTGATGTCAAGTTGAGTCAAGTTAGCCCAGGTGATGCTCCTGGAATCCGGCCCAGCCACCGAACCCCATATCAAAATGCACACCTGTAGGTCTGTAGGCCGGTAGGAGCGCGCGAAAACGAGCTTTGAGTTTGCCTACGGGCAGGATGTTTTTGTACCGCAGCACAACATGTAGGTTGCAACTCCGCTGAAGCAACAAACCCGGCCCTGTGAGAGGAAAAATCGAGAAGTGTACCAAACCCGGCTTCTGCGGACCTTGCCTGGACTGTTCGAGTGCGAGTGTCAAAATCAGGCACGCGCGGCGCGAGCTCGGCTCTTTCGCTGGCCGGAGCTGGAGGACCGCGATATGCACGCCAGGGCCCGAGAGCTGTAGGAAGAGCCTGGGGGTGCCTCGGCTTGAAGTCGATCTAACTGTGCCCAAACCCGAAGCTTTCTTGTTTTTTGGGTTAGAGGCGTGCAGGCCGGGAGAACGCGCAGAGCAAAGGCAGCTTATGTTGACACCCTTAGCTCGCCGTCTCATGAACTGAAGCTATGTGTGGTATATAAAGTTCAGGCTAGTGAGAGACAGCGCATTACACAAAACGGACCCGAAATTCCAGAACTGTAGGGCCGGCAGGTTTGTCAAGTGAATATGGTGGTAGGGTTGGGAGTTCGGAAGCTGTCTTTTGTTTCTTGATGCTTTGCAGAGGGTCTCCGGCTTGTTCAGGCGGTGAACTTCGGACCCGAGCGTCTTCGCTTCTGCCGGGCGCCCGCCGTGGATTCGTGGGTTTGGGCAGGTCATGATTTCGAGTCGGGGTCCTGTTTCAGGAACCCTGCACCCTAAACCCTGGGAGTCTACTGCTCTGCTTTGCCATAGTGGAGATCCTGTGGGCTATGTGGAGCCTTGCCTGCCCTGAGCGAGTGTGAGCATCGAAACCCCGCAATTCTATTTTATTTTTTTCGGGTTCGGGCTTATGGCTGCAGGCATCATTGATCGCAGAGAGCATCCCTCGCACCCACGCGGCTGCACAATCACACAAGTCAGCACTTGGACGCTTCCGATGAGATGAGGGGGGAGGCTGCTTGGGCTCCCAGCACTCGGTCCTCTCTGAGGTAAATCTGCAGATTCGGCTGAAGCTCTCGGAGATCCAGGAAAAAACGCCTGGCACCTACAGAGGGCCGGCAGGGTTGCAATCGCATGTTTGCCTCGTTGGGTCGAGGTCTTTGTGGTGAGCCAGATGCGTCGTCCATCCCGCTTGAGACATGCGCTGAACGCCTCTTGGCCCGAAGCCGTGAACATGGTTCCGCTACTGCGTGGGGGTCTGCATTACTTCCCAACAACCCCTGGGCTGCGCTTTTCCTCTGCGAGTCTGCGAGTGTGCCAATGCATGCAACAACATGTTGTCTGAGGAGCTGTATCGCGAGGGCATCAGTGCGAACATCGTCGTACACTGAGGAAGCGACATGAACCAGACATGTTGTACCATGTTGTACCATGCTTGCACATGCTCGAGCTGTGCTGCAGGGGTGACTCATCTTAGGTCGATGCCGTTGATGGAGATGGCTTTCGCGCGCAGGATGAACTGGAGAGGCATCTTGCCATCGTGGCCTCCCACTGCCACAAGCACTATACTACTACTACTACTACTGCTACTACTACTACTGCTGCTGCTACTACTACTACTGCTGCTACTACTACTACTACTGCTACTGCTACTGCTACTGCTACTGCTACTGCTACTGCTACTGCTACTACTACTACTACTACTACTACTACTACTACTACTACTACTGCTGCTGCTACTACTACTATTACTACTACTACTACTACTACTGCCACCACTACTTGCTACTACTTGCTTGCATAACTCGCACTACGAATCGACGACGACAGTGTCGACCACGACCGCGACCGCAGCGACGACGATCGCTTCTGCTGCTGCTGCTGCTGCTGCTACCAAGACCACCAGAACACCAGGTTTGCTCCTCTTGTTGTTTCTGTACTGCTACCGCATGCAACCACTGCCCCTACTGAGAGGAGGCTCGAGACAGAGGCGGGCAGATAAGCAAGAACTCAGAGACAAAGCACAGCGATCCTCGATCTTCACGACCAAATTGCCCAACGCACTGCCTCCGCTTGCGCGTAGAGTAACTGCTGGGCAGCCCATGCCGCCATGAGCTTGGTTCGAGATCCCGTCGTCGCTGAAGCCTTTTTCGCGCAGCTGCCTGCCACAGACCTCAGCCCTGCGGAAGCATCGCTTCTACGAGCACTCTTAGCTCTTGGGGAAGCAGCAATTGCTCTGGGCTTGCCTGCAGGCGTGAGCCTCCAAGAATGGGCAGAAAGGCGCGTGCCGAATCATTGCGTGGGACAGGTGAATGCCACCGGCCTGGTCTTCATCCCTGGCGCGGCCAAGGCCACTCCTCCTCCCATGAGCTTGGCGAGAGAGGCTGGTAACAGTGGCCGTCGGGATTTGGGACCCTCTGGCGCTGTGGAGGCAGTGAAAGCCACGGTGGTCCGATCGATCGTGGCTGGGGTGAAATCCATCGGAGCCACCATGCTGGGGCCACTGGGGGCCATGCTTCGGCTGAAGAAGGCCGAGGAGCCAGAGAGAATGGAGGCCGTCGAGAACACCTTCTACTACGACACCGTGCAGAAGCGATGGCGGCAGCATGGTGTTGAGGACGTAGATGTCTCCCAGATAGATCCCAAAACTGGCCGGCAGAAGGCGCCCGACTTGTCGGCACATCTTCCACCGCCACCCATGAACGGTCCTACGAGTGGGTCCTTGAACAGAGCCGGGCTGCAGGCAGTCGGCTCCCTCTATGTCGATCCTTTGGCCAAAGCAACTGCGGCGTGGAGCGATACCACCCCCACAGCACCCACGACACCCTCCACGGCGATGGCTCCGGCGCCAGCAGCTTGTGCGGACATGCTGCAGTACCGGTCGCCGATGGACGAGGACTGGCAGAGCAGCGGGCAAGTCGCCGGCAACGTTCCCTTTCCGACGCCTTGCACGGCTTTTCCAGATGGCTCCTTCCCATCGAACGAAGAGCTGCACGATGGCCGACTTCTCGATCCGCCCAAAGGCCGGCGGTGCATTCTCCAGAGTGTGTACGGAGAGCTAACGTTCGGCCTCTTTGCATCTCAAACGCGAGGTGCTGATAGTCTTCTTGCAATTTCGTGGAGTTCTGCTTCGGGAGTTGTGACCTAAAGGGGTTTGAGGCACATAAGCATAGCCTGAAACTGCGCCTCTTGCCGGGCATGTCTGCGACCCTTGCAGGACCAATGACGATGTGTGATGGGCCGGGCAATGGCTCTCTCCTCCCAGGCCGCCGTAGCAGAAGTGGAGAGCCAAACTGATTTCGTTGAACAACATCTGCTGCTGTTGAGGGCTTGGTCTTCGGGTGCTTTGCGTTTTCTATATGGTTCTTTTTTATCGCCTATGCCCAGTGGAAGTTGGACCGTCGTAGCAAGAAGCCAGCTCTGTTCGTTGACAGTTTGAAGCCACTGCTGTCTTGGTGCAGGAGGAGCTGGTAGATGAGTGCCAAGACTCTGTCATGATCATTGGAGAAGCAAGTGCGTCTTGGGTTCCAGCTTCGTTGCACAACGTTGCTCTGCCGCATGGGCCCTGCTCAAGTCAGATGTCCCATGCCCGTGAAAGAAAAAGCCAGTGCACTGGCATTGTTTGAATGATTTGCCGTGACCTGCCTGGCATGTACAGAATGCTGCTTTGCCCGTTGCTCTGCTGCGCAGAGGTACGTGCAGGGTCCGACGGTTGATGATATTAAATCCTGCATTGCCCATAATAAGGAAAAGGCCATAATTCCAATAGTTTAGGGTCCTTAAGGTAATGCAGGATTTATATCATCAACCGTTAGAGTCAACGACGATGTCTGGAATGCTGCGATGGAAACACGACTACACGCGGCTGATTTGCAGAAACTTGAAGAGTTTCCCAGCGCATTAAAGCATCTCCTGGAATTCCCAAGCGAGGAGGCAGTGGTCCTGGACAGGACAGTCTGAACTCAATCGACAATCCCGTAAGATCCCACAATTCGAGTTGGAAGTGGCAACAAAGCATAAATCACTGAAATCACCATATTAGGGAGTTTCCGAAATTTGGGGTACCTTATTTTGGGGTCCAAAAGAAGGATCCTACTATTTCGGGTGCTATAGTAGGGTCCCCTGTTTTCGGAAACTCCCATATCATACATCCAGTGTCATCGAGGCACAGCTCTATTTGTGTTCAAAGTCGCCACCAGGGGGAGTAGCTTGCACCCAGGCTGTGAAATTAAGGCGCCATAAGACACCCACACGACCTGATCAAATAATGGAGGCCTCATGTTCACAATGTCGATTCGCCCGAAGCTTCACAGCTGAGTGATTCAAGCAATGTAGGATGGGCTATCCGAAGAATGAGGCAGTTGAATTGTTGGACTGCAACCTGCAACCGTAACAGAGCCACAGGAATACTTAGGCATGATTGCCTGCCTATCCAAGGTGCGCATGCTGGCAACATGCGACATCCTCGCGAATATTCGGCTTGCACATGTGTTGACTATTTATGATTATATCCAGGTGTTGAACATTAGTAGTTGCATACGTCTGGACAGAACTTACAACCAACACCCGAGGAAAACTATGACTGTTGTGTGAAAGCCCGGGGCCCCTCATGAGCTACGACCCAGAGATGCACATATAGACACTATCGACACATAAATATGCGCAGTGTGCAGACACACGCACGCGCTCCATGCATGCATGCATGCAAGCACCGCTTTTGCCAGGCTTGGCATCATCCCTGTCCCCGGCTACGAAGGCCACAAAAATCACGGCATCCACCTCACCACGGGCGAGGCCTGCGTTGGAGCCTGTTTGCTTCGGGGACTCTCAGTGGCAAGACGCCTTTGCTTCGTCTGTTCTCACATAGACATGCTGCACTTGTTTCTGTTGTTGTTGTTGATACTAGTCTGACCACTTCTCTCACTTATGTTCGTTCTTGCTTGTAGTACTGTTCTTGCACTGTATGACTGCTGTTCAGATTGTTGCGGCTGCCATTCCTTTCATAAAAAAGGTGTCTTGATCGAATTGCAAGGTGGGCTGCTTCATGAGCCACTTCACGATTTGGCATCACATGGTCAAGCTCGGCCCTCGAAGTTCAGAGCGCAAGACACAGGGTTAGGATGTTACGCATGAGGCACCAAATTCCAGCCGCCCTCATCTTGGAAGATGACTTCGATCTACAGCCCGACTTTGCGTTCTTGCCTCGGCATCTGCCAGCTTGACAAATTTCTTTTGTGGCCGTGGTTCTAAACTGGGAGCTTGTGCTCACTACTGGGCTGGTGAACTAGAACGTTAACCGTTTTGGATGCTCCCCAGCTCATCATCCACATGCATTCTTCAACCCTGCAATCCCCTGCTGAAGCAAACCGCGATGCGCTGTCTGTCCTGAGCTGAGCGGACATCTCTGGAAGCTGCCCGTGTTCTTCTTTTCTCGACATTCTGTTCTAGAAGGTGATGAGGAGAGAGTCGCACTGGATGTTACCGTAAGGCTAAAGCTCGGCGAGTACCTTGAGGAGGCTGGCGCAGTATATGATAGTAGTAGTAGTAGTAGTAGTAGTAGTAGTAGTAGTAGTAGTAGTAGCAGTAGTAGTAGTAGTAGTAGTAGTAGTAGTAGTAGTAGTAGTAGTAGTAGTAGTAGTAGTAGTAGTAGTAGTAGTAGTAGTAGTAGTAGTAGTAGTAGTAGTAGTAGTAGTAGTAGTAGTAGTAGTAGCAGTAGTAGCAGTAGTAGTAGCAGTAGTAGTAGTAGTAGTAGTAGTAGTAGTAGTAGCAGTAGCAGTAGCAGTAGCAGTAGCAGTAGGAGTAGTAGTAGTAGTAGTAGTAGTAGTAGTAGTAGTAGTAGTAGTAGTAGTCGTGGTGGTGGTGGTGGTAGTAGTAGTGGTAGTAGTGGTAGTTTGGTAGTATGGTAGTGGCTGTGGCCCTTGCAGTGGCACCGTTAGCGGTAGTGGTAGTGGTAGTGGTACTGCTTCTCCCGTTCCTCGTCCTCCTGCTTGTCCCTTCCTCCTAACTATCCCCCAGGGCAGTTCTGGTAGCGGTGCTCGTTGTGGCGGATCTAACCGACTACTCGCGCAGGATACAGGATTGGCAGTTACGTCTGCCAGGCGCGCGGCTACGACTGGAATCTCCTGTATGTTGGGCTCGGGGCTCATCTGTGAGACTACAGTAATTGCAATCGGGGTGGTAGAAAATGCTGTGAATCCAGGAGCACAGTTTCACTGACAGTTATTGTGGTATGTGTCCATCTGGCCAACTGACTAGTAAACAGCCTTGCTCCAAAGAAACGGCCATAGGCGTGGTCAGCCCAAGACGTTTGTGCGGGCTTTGTTGCTTTGCAACGTCGGAGGGGCCTGACATTAGCGAATAGAAGATAACCCAGAAAGTATCACATTAAGCCCTACAGCGACTTCTGTTTTGACCGGAGGCGCCGCAGACGTAGTACGTATGTTACCAAAAGAAATTCCAGGTACCCCGAGTGGGGTGATGCTAATTGAAACCCTCATTCTGAACACATCCATGCTCCTTGTACATCTCTGATCCTTGAAGTATAGATTTCGCCACTGAGGCGCAGCCCCACCGAACCGGATTGGACACGGCTGTCGCAGCACGTCGTGGAGCCAGGCTACACGCTATGGACGGTGCGCCCCGGGCCTGGGTAACATGGGGGCCTTAATTATTGTCTATACTATTTCTTGGGGGGGTCCTTGTTCTGATCATAGTATAATGGGCCCCAACCTTGTTTTGATGATTAAGGCCCCTATAGGTTTGAGGACGTGGATGATTGGCTTTAACCGGGTTTCGGGTTGATTAGTGGCAGTCCTGTTGCAGGTTTTTGCTAAGTGGCGTGTTTTGTGGGGAGAGGGGGAACCGAATCCCTGAACAATAGCGTCCGTGCTAGAAGGCTTATAGCAGACCCAAGAAACCATAGTGTTCTGAGCGCCGTCCCAAGTGACCCACGCTCAAGGCATTCTCTGTGAAACCACTCAACCATGGGTGCCGGAAGTCGTCCTTTCTCAGTCCTGTTCTCCAAGCTGCACCACTTATGTCAGTGACCGCAATCAGTTACAACAGTTACCATGGCAATGACAAGAACACGTAATAACACTCGAAAATTTACTGCAGCGAGTCCACCTCCCTCTCTGCCTCTGTCTCGTCTGCGGCCCTTCGTTGTGAAGGTGGGCTACATCATGCGCCTGGATGGCGCCAAAGCACTCTTAGATGCCGGAGTGGAGGCATGTCACCGTCCAAGTCTAGGGCGGGGCTGCTGCGATCGTCATGGAAGCTTGAACAATTATCCACATTTTTAGAATTATACCAAGAGCTCCGGAATCCAATTCTACTTATAACGGCCACTTCAATTACGCTGCCAGCGCGCTTTCGCGCCTTTGGATGACTACTTCTCTGTGGCCGCCGGCCGCGGGTTCGATTGCTTCTACAATGACAAGGCTGGGGCTAATGTGGCGGCCTTTGCTTCGACTGTTACCCGATAGCCTCCAGGCGGTGCTCACAGGGATGATCATGACTATGGTGACCATGATGATGTTCAATGATGATCAATGATGAGGGTCTTGGTCTGGTGATGACATTCTCGTTGGCATCTCATAAGTTCTGTGTCTGCCCTCATACGACTGCAGTCCCGATTGCCACATCTAGCTCAAGTTCTTGCTTCGTGCGCCGTTGTTGCCGCTGCGGGACAGCAGGTTTTGGAGTGGAAGCCCTACATACCAGTGCTTCTGCGACCAATGGCTTTGACACCTCCTTTGGTGATGCCGTGCGCTGCGGTGAGTTCGCGCTCTCATGCTGAAGCCGGCTTGTGTTTTGTGTTTGTCGCCTGACAGGTACGTAGGTTCCATGTTCCTCAGTGACACGGCAAAGGCACGGGAGCTGGTTGCCCAAACCCCGAACTTTCACCAGGGGCATCCTGTGCTTTGCCACTGAGGAAGCCCAACATGTCAGCCAAGCTAATGCTCCATGCAGAGGTCCGCGCCGCAACGCGGTATGTGGAGGATCTCCCGGTGTCCGTTCCTGATGAGTAGGAGACAGTTTCATGCGAAGGCCTCGGTTTCCAGCAGTAGTTTTGGATGCTTGGTGAAAAGCATCAGGCTTGGGGGTTCACGGGGCACTGTCCGTGTCTTGCACGGCTGCACTGCTTCACAGATCTCTTGTGCACCCCGGCGGCTATCTGCTGTGGTCGAAGCATCTGGAGACTTTAGGAACTTAGTAAGAGGTTGGTCAGGTTCAATTGTTAACTGTTTCAATTTGCGCTTGGCATGTCGTGCTCTTGGAGCCGCTGGGGCACACGAGAGTCTTAGTCTTGTGCGTTGCGTGAGCTGTGACAGCGCAGGAACAAGAATTCAGCTCGCACTTTCGCTTTCCGGCAGTAGCTACACCTTCTGGTTCGGAGAGTCTACGAAACCGGAGCCTGTGTGAGCCAGGCTCAGCTGGAGGAGCGCGGAAAGAAGCTCGAGGAGATCGCAGGCACGGGCCTCAGATCCCTCAAAGTTATATCTTTGGCATCTTAGGAGTTCCAGCTTCGATCCTCGCAGCAGGAAGATTCGCGGAATTTCTGAATCGCTAGAGGGACGAAGCTTGAACAGTTCTTCAACTGATCCCTTTAAGAACTCGAAACACCTGCGGCTCGCTCAAGCATTTCTGCGGCTTCGGTACCAGACAGGGAAAGGGCCGGGATATGGCACGGCAGGCGGCAACCGGGACGAATGTGCAGGACCTGGAAGAGCAGCAAGCGCTTCTGGAGAATCAAGGGGGCCCTGGCAACTCAACCCGGCCGATAGCAGGAACCCTGCTGGTGGCCGGGGGGCTGGTGAGCGTCTTTGTGGTGGTCTTCAGCGCCTTCCTGGACAATTGGCTGTGGCCAATTCTGGGTTTGATGCTTTTGATAGGCCATGGCCTGCTGCTCAAGGCCACCGCGGACAAGGACGGCCTTTCCAGGCTTTCGTCTGTGGCCTTAGCGTGTGAGACCTTGGCCTACTTGGCTTTGGTGGCCACGTATTTCTTCCGCTCCTTCATGGTTCCCCACTGGTGGTGGGTCGCAAATGCCTTTCTCTTGTTGCTTGCAGCCGGAGTTCTGACAGCTCTGGTTTGCCACCTTTGCTGCGGCAGCTCGAGCACGGAAAAGGCCTCAACGTTAGGCTATTTCTTGCTTGCTTTTGCAGACCTTCTTGTGGCTCTTCTGCTCATCTTAGCAGGCAGTGCAGCAGTCCAAGAATGGATACGATCGCTGATCCCGACGGAAGTGCAAGGTTTGATCGCCACTCTCCAGACTTCGACACGGAGCTTCAGGGGACCCCAGCCGAGTTTCCCGACTTGTGACCTCACCACATCGAGCTGCAGTCTCGCAGACTTTGAGCAAAAGCAATGGACCGTGGTCCGCGCCGGAGGATCTACGAGCTGCCTTGTTGGGGATTTCCAGTTCCTGGTTTACAAAGGTGATCCCGGCAAAGTCGTTTTGCATCTTCATGGCGGAGGGGCTTGTTGGAACTGGGTGACATTTGTCCTCAACGCATGCACCTGGGATTGGACGAGCACGATGAACTTCGGTGGTATTTTCGACCCTTCCAACCGAGCCAACCCGTTCTATGGGTATACCATGATAAATGTTCCCTACTGCTCCGGTGATATCTTCGGGGGTGCCAAAGAGAACTTCTGGATCCTGGCCAACCAAACCGCCAGCGCTTGGAAGAAGCAGTCCGGCTACGCGAATCTGGATGCAGTCATGACTTGGACTGAAGCGCAGTTCCAGAAGGATGGCGGCCTAGACCAGCTCACGAACTTCGTGGTGTCGGGGGAGTCTGCTGGGTCCTTGGGGCTGCAGGTCTGGGGCTCTACTATTCTAAATCGCCTCAAGGGCCAGTATGACCCCAAGGGCACCTACCTCATCTTGGACTCTTTTGTTGGGGCCATGGTTGATAACAAGGACCTGCTCCAACGGCAGGTGATGGACTTCTGGAATTTCTGCGATTCCGGGGTGGTACCGCCGAGTCTGCAGTCCAAGTGCCACCCGGATACTCTCTTCTTAAGGGACTTCGTGAACGATACCCTGACCACATTCCCCGATGTACGCTATCTTCCGGTGGACAGCAAGTTTGATGAAGTTCAGATTGCTTTTGCAGACATGCTCATGTTTTTGGACAACCTCTGGACCCTCGTCACGCAGGGGTTGGACAAAGTGCCATTGTTTAACAACACAGGTTTCTATAGTGAGATTAGCGAGAAGCTTGCCAGGTTCGTCTCTTTTCCCCAGTTTTCGGTGTATCTGGTGGATTCGGACCAGCACACTTACACCGGCTACCCCTTACGTGACATCTTACGGGTGACGCCCGCTGGCTCCCAGAACGACTGCAGCGATCCGGACGTCGGGGAGCGCCTTCTTCCCTGGCTGACGCCAAGAGACCTGGGCTCTTGTTCAAGAAGTTAGTTCAAGTTACCAGATCTATAGTAAATAATACGGTTTCTGCATTGAATCCCCTGACGAGAACCCAGGAGAGGGCCAGCAGCCTCCCTTTCAGTGCTACGATCTCCTTCGAGATTCACCGGAATGGACGGCGATGTACTGCTCCGATTTCCTGCCCTGGGTGGCAGGAAAGTGCGGTAAGCTTTCAGCAGAAGCGGAGTCGGAGAAAGTGGCCAAATCTGAGGCAGACAAGCCCGAGAAAGTCGACAAGCCAGAGGAAGTGGACAAAGCGGACAAATCGGAGGAAGACAAAGCGGAGAAGTGAGTCGGAGGAGCTCGAAAATCTGAGGCTCCATGGTATGCACAGCTGGCACGGTGTGCCAGATGAGTACAGAAGGCACGGTCTTTCCTGGACATCTAGTCCGAACTGCAGCCTTGCATTCATTTCAGCGTCTATGCCTTTTGCGAGCGTACAGCATGCCGCCGGCTCTACTGCAAAACCGGCAAGTGTTTCAACAGCCACCAGTGCTCTATACTTGTTTCAAGTCGTGTATCGAGTCAAGGACCTCGAGGTCGTATAAAGTTGGCAGAAACCTCTGCGAAGTTCGAGGCATCAGCGGCTAAAACCGAGTGCCCGAAAGTAGAATGCTGAATCCTTCCAACGCCTAAACCCTGCATCCTTTGGTTGCGGAGCGACAAGTGTCGATGAAAAGAAAAAGGCAACTCCCTCACTCCCTAGAAAGCCCAGACGACTGAGGCGACTCAGAAAAGATTCGGCAAGAAGCGGCTCTTCTGAAAACCAAGCTCGAGGCAGGCGAGGGCTTATCCTTGAGTCTTACACCAAGTTGCCTGAACTGCTAAGCGTAATGTTTGCTGCGGTCGCTGCTGCTACGGCTGTGGTTGCGGTTCTCGTTGCCATTTGACATTGACGTTGGCGTCGTTGTCGTTGTCGTTGTGACATTGTTGTTGCTTTTGCTGTTGCGGCTGCGGTTAATTGATGGTGATGGGGATGATGAAATCATCATCATCACCATCATCATCATCATCATTGTCGTTGTCGTTGTGGTTGGGGACCCAGTATGTGATTGCACCTTGTTGTTGTTGTTGTTGTTGTTGTTGTTGTTGTTGTTGTTGTTGTTGTTGTTGTTGTTGTTGTTGTTGTTGTTGTTGTTGTTGTTGTTGTTGTTGTTGTTGTTGTTGTTGTTGTTGTTGTTGTTGTTGTTGTTGTTGTTGTTGTTGTTGTTGTTGTTGTTGTTGTTGTTGTTGTTGTTGTTGTTGTTGTTGTTGTTGTTGTTGTTGTCGTGTTGTTGTTGTTGTTGTTGTTGTTGTTGTTGTTGTTGTTGTTGTTGTTGTTGTTGTTGTTGTTGTTGTTGTTGTTGTTGTTGTTGCTGCTGCGTTGTTGTCGGTAGGGTTGTTATGAATGCTGGTTTTTCATGCTGTGAACGTTGTCGTTATAAGAATTACTGTAGTTCTTGACATGTCAATGCTACTAGCAATGTTGGTACTATTGTTAACGTGACGATGATGATGGTGATCATGATGATGACGACTGATTGCTGGTCTCAGTAGTTGTCTTTCCTATTCATAGCGGCTGTTGTGAACAATCTTGGCGACTGTGGGACTTTGATGAACTGTGCATCACGCACGACGGGTGCTTGTGCTGCTTGTGTCGGAGGCTCTCCAACAGGGTTTGGGGTTTTAAGGGGGGCCTAGACTGAAAACCCCTGAACCCAAAGCCCTCGCCAGGCATGTCCGAGTGTTAGTGCTGAAACCCTAAACCCTAAACCTCAGCCTTGCCTGCCTTGTGCGAGAGTGAGCGTCGAAACCTCTCAATTGTACCTGGCTTGTGAGCATAGTTCTCAGTTATGAGAGACGGGAAAAACCTGACACGGGAGACGCAAAAGAAAACAGACAGCACAAAACACCAACATAAGCCAACCTTTTGCAACAATCAAAATCAGCCGGCGAGTTTAGAATCACAACCTTCACCAGAATCGAGCCGAGTGGGCGGGTGCGACGGCTTGTTCGATGCATGGCTGGAAGAGCTAGCCAGTCCCACAAAGACAGTTTCCATGTGGGACATTACACCGCCTGCTCCGACTCTGTTGCCGATGCGAAGGATGCCTTTGCCAGGAATGTGGCCAGGATGACCCAGCAGCTACTGCGGTATCGCGAGCACGACTGGCGGCCGGTTCAGTACAGAGATGCCTTGGCAGCAACAGCACCTGCTCGTCTCGAAGAGCCAGAAGCGGAGGAGCCCAAACCACGATCTCGCATGCTTGTGAGGAGGCCTGGCAGCTTGAGTGCTGAAGAGCGGAAGGTTGGGGCAAGTGCGCCAGACCCTCCCGTGATGAGTGGTGCCGAACTGCTGCAAGAGCTGCTGAAGGAGTGCACACTGGGCAAACAGCAACTGTGTGGTGCGGGCAGCCCAGCTCCAAGCCGCAGCAGCTCTTCCTCCCGGCTGCCCGAACAAGCGTCTTCCGAGAGACACGCGGAGTCCAAGAAGGAGCTGGAGCTCCAGACCGAGCTGAACGAGAGCCGCCGGGCCTTGGAGAAGATGGCGCACATGCTGCACGACCGCGAGGAGCAGCTCCGGCTCGCGGAAAAACGCCTCCCCCCGGCTGTCCCAGCGGCAGCGGCTGGCTCCCCACCTCCGAAGCTGAGCCCTCGGATGGCGGCCAAGGAGAGCATCGAGCAGATCGAGCAGTGCGTCCGAGAGCGCGCGAAGTGCGAGGTCCTGCGGGCCGAGCTGGCGGAGCGGGACGTGGAAATCCAGCGCCTCCGGGCCTCCGAGCGGGCGACGGAACAGCGAGCCGCCGAAGAGCTGCGCTGTGCTCGCCTGGAGCTTGCAGAGACGCGGCGCCAGCAGGAGAGCTGAGAACCTGGGGAGGTCGTTCTTTCTTGCCTTCCTGGTTAGTTCTCTTAGTTCCCTTGGTTTGTCAGTCTAGGCATGTTTGGGCTGTGCACCTTCTGCCCTCGTGTCTCTATTGTACACGATTTTTCTATCCGTATGCACCGTGACACATGCACGCATAAAGTCTTTAACCGCTAACCTTGTTACTAGCTAAACTCTGCGGTGTGTGGTAGAGGTGCAGCAGGGTAGTGCAACGGCAACTGCCAACAGTCCGTCGCCCGCACCCAGGTCTGTCCGTCACAATGAAAAATAAGATGAAAGCAATGAGTTCGTGTCGTCGATCTCGACCGGATCAGGGCATACGGGAAAGACGGTATGTGCTCGTTGCTGATATTCAGAAGCTGCAAAGAACTGCAAAGGATTCTCAAAAGACTCACCTAGAGGTCAGAAGTACTTTAGGACCATCGCCCAACGAGCTCCCGAAACCGAAGCCAGACTCGCGATCGGGCCATGTCTAGGAAGCCGCAGCCGCACCACCGACTTCCCTTCTGCCACCGAGACCCTAAGCCCTGTAGAAGCCCTAAAAGCCGGGGGAAAAAGGCCATGAAGAAGAGCCAAAGCCCTGAAGACGAGCAGGAGATCCTGGGTCTGGAGATCCATGAGGCAGAGCTGCTTCGCCAGCGGCCCCGGCCACTGATGGAGCTCCTCGGGCTCCCTCCGAAAGCCACGCCCGAGGCCAAGCGCGAGCGCCTTGGAGAGGCCGTGGCCACTTTGAAGCTACTGGTGGAGGAGCTGACAGCTGCAGACGCTCCAGAAAGGGAGGCATGTTTCGAGGCCTTTTCAGGGATGCCTCCCATCCCAGAGGAGGACTCTCAGGGTTCTATGAGCCCATGCAGTCCAGACAAAGGCACAATGCTGCCTTAGTCGCACTCAGAAAATGTGCCGGGGGCGGACGAAAGCAGTGGTTTTGCTTCCGTGTCTCCATCAACTTTCATGGCAGAGCCGTGGTGAAAGCACCCAGTTTGCGTGACAGGAAGGCCGCTGCTCTACGACACCGGCGAAGGTGCGTGCCAAGGTGCAGCGTAGGATCATGGACGTTTCCCAAGCTGCGCTGTATATGCTGCGGTTCCACGGCAGCTTTAGAACATTAGACATGGTATGTATGAATCTGAATATGAGTTTATGAGTATGTACGTGTACACATATTTATGTACACACGCATGGCTGCAAGGATGCATGTATGCATATATGCACGTATGTTTGTATGTAGGTATGAGATTACATTTGTATGTGTGCATGCATGCACAGTCACAGTTACATAGTTAATTACATACGTACATAAGTACATAGTATGTCAACATGTGCACATACATAAATACAAGGCCATACCATACAATACGACGCGATAGAATACATTACAATACATATACACAATACCAAGCAACACCACGCAGTCTCCCTTCTAGTACAAGGAAACACAGAAGAACACAATACAATACATACAGTCCAATTCATACATATCACACGTACATGCATTCACTACATGCCGTGGCATGACGATACATCAAATCACATTGCCGGGTCTTCCGCCAAGTTAGTTATACACACACACACACACACACCACATCACATTGCATCACGCTGCATGATGCTACATTAGACTAGACTGCTTTCATTTCATGCATACCTACATACATAACCACGCACACATGAATAATCTTCTATATAGACATACCATATGTACACCTACGCACATGGATGTGTACCTGTACAAACATCGGCAGATAGACAAGCGAGCGGATAGAAAGACAGACAGACAGACAGACAGACAGACAGACAGAGAGACAGAGAGACAGACACACAGACAGGTAGATAGACACTTGTGGATACACAGATGATCAAGTAAAGGGTCAGATGGCAGGCTCTGCTTCTTCCCGAATCTGCTACGCAGCCGCGGGAACGGTTTAGGGTTTAGGGTTTAGAGTACAGTGCCTCGGCATATGCGTAGTCCATCCAATTCAGACATCCCGATTGATGCGGCGAATGCTTTTGAGCGGATGTTTGTAGTTGTCCACGTTTGTAGCGCTGGCTTTACCCGAACCTCGAGAGCGCGATGCGTTTTTGAAACGAAACTGCACGTAAGGGTTGGAATCGATCACTGGTGCTATAAAGTTACGATGCTCGAACCTGCAGTGCCCCATGTGAAGAGTAAGCTCCAGTTTGCAATGCGCAGGCTTCACCAGCCAGGCGCTCCTGATCAAATTCTGCTCGTTGCTTGCAGGATGTTGGGCATTTATTCTGTGCATGTAAGTGGCGCCAGTCTCTGACCGGACGTAATTGGGTAATTAGGTACTAGTATGCTTGCTAGCCTGGCAGCGCCGAGCGTGAGAGGCGAAAGCCTGGCCTCGGTGGAAGCATATTGCTCAAGGAGTCGTAGTTATTTCAGCCCGATCTTTCTGGCCTGCGATGGGGCTTCCAGGGGCGCTTGGCTTGCTGAAGCTGGAGCAGCCGTGGCATGCTGGCGAACGAGTGCTTCAGAAGAAGCAGGGCACCGTCCACTCTTCGGATGAGATGGGTCCGCACATCTATCACAAAGTCATTCCTGAGTCGTGGAGGGACATGGTCGGCCCGCAGCCGCATTTCATGGTCAGTTTCTTCGATCCTGACACCAACGCCAGCTGGTCCTCTCTCATCTTCGCACGACCGGGATTCGCTGACTGCGAGACCTCTGACGGAACTCACATCGATATTGCTGCTGCCCTTGACCCGCGGGATGCAGCAGCAACTTCTGGGATGATGAAGCCAGGGATTATGGTCGGTGCGGTTGCCATCGACTTTATGTCGCGACGGCGGAATCGCTTCAATGGCGTCATTAGACAGGTCCACAAAAATGGGCACTTTTCGATCCGGATCCGCCAGGCCTTCGGAAACTGTCCGAAGTACATTACACGGCGCAGAGTTCGGAAGATGGGCAAGAATCTCGAGTTTGCCACCGAGCCGGTGATGGAGGCATCCACAGTCGGCAAGTTGGAAACTGCTATCATCACAAGCGCAGATAACATGTACTTTGGAACAGGCACGGCAGAACATGGAGCTGACATGAACCTTCGTGGTGGCTCCCCAGGATTCGTGCGCGTCCTGCACGGTGGAAGCACAATCTGCTGGCCAGACTACACAGGGAACGGATTCTACATGAGCCTCGGCAATGTGCAGTTGCAGAAGTGTGCCAGTCTGGTGTTCGTGGACTGGGACGCCACAGGCCATGGTGTTCAAGTCGCCGGAAGCGTGTGCACGGTGGAGAGGTCGGAGGTCGTGGATGCAGAGCTGCTGAGAGTCTTAGGCGAGGAACCGCAGGCCTTGAGACTAGTGGTGATGTCGGTGAAGAGTCTCCGCTCCATCCCGCGATACAGCCCTCACGTCTATGAGAAGGTAGAGCTGAGCCCGTACAATCCCCGGCCAAAAGCATTGGGGCCGGAGTACCTGGCAGTTCTCCAGTGGGTGCGCCAAGAGTCCCGGGATGTCCGGACCTTCGAGTTTCAACTGGCACCGCTTCCCAAGCCAGGCTCCATTGTCTTGAAGCCCGGGCAGCACGTCCGGCTTGCGCTGCCCGCGCTGGGGACCGCAGCTTCGCCAGCCGAGCGAACCTGGACGGTGACCTCGTCGCCTCAGTGGCTTGCAGAACATGGTCGCTTCCAGATCTCAGTGAAGCTGAAGCGTGGCGGCCTGGCATCGACATGGCTGCACAAGCTCAGCCGCGAGGAAATGAAGGGAGCCAACATTCATTTTCTTGGCTTCTCCGGCGAATTTGGCCCACAACTTGACCCCCGCAGCGGGGAGCTTCGCAGCCAGATCGCCATGCCACGGCATGCCGTGTTCTTGACAGCTGGGATTGGCTTGACCCCGGCAGTGGCGGCTCTTACCGCGATTGCAGAATCGGGGCCCCGTCCTCAGACCCTCACAATCTTCTACTCAGTTCGTGAGCTCTCGGAAGCGGCTTTCTTGGAGCTGCTGGCGTCAGCTGGTAGGACCCTCGTGCAGTTGCGCATCACTTATCGAGTCATACTCCTGCTGACCGGGCCGGATGCATCGAAGGAAAGGAGGAAGCTGGAGGGGATGCTGAGGCAGAACTCCATCAGCTCCGTTCAGGTTGAAGCCGGCAGGCTGTCGACAAAGGTGTTGACAGATCACCTGCCAGCCAAAGCCATTCAACCCCACGAGACCATCGAAGCCTTCATATGTGGCCCAGCAGGTTTCGACTCTGCTGCCAGAGACATGTGGACTGCCGCAGGCTTCTCTTCCTCGGCAATTCGTTCCGAAAGCTTTGCATACTGAGCTTCCTGGTTTTTCCTTGAGCCTTGAAAAACTCCACGCCCAGGCTTCTGCGGAATGGTAGAGTCGGTGTACATGTACAGATGCGTGGCCGAGCAATTGCTCACTTTATTTCCTTACGTAATGCAGGCGAGCCAAAGTGGCGGCAGGATGCTGTAGAAAGTACAGAGAGAACCTGTTTGTCCTGCAGCGCGAAGGCTTGACCTTTGCGCACAGGCGGGCTAATTACACATGCCTAGTTCCGAAAAGCCATCAAAACCAGGCGCTCTTTGCAGTTTGGGGTTGCGTACCATGGAGGTCTGAATATGTCTGGACAGTTTGTTTTTGTAGTACTGCCAACTTATTGTTCCTAATTACTTTATCTTACTGTGCATTTTGCCAGCGACCCTTCGGTCGAATTTCAGAAAGCTACTTGCCTTGTGGATAAGCCTTCGCAGAAAGGTTTGTTCAGAGCCTGGGGCTCTTGGGCTTCGGGGTTCGTCCACTGCTCTTATTCTTCTCAGTTGGAAGAGTCTAAGATTCTTCCTGCCATCGCTATTGTTGCTGATGACATGATTTTTCATGCCTTGCCGTCTCCTGGCTTTAGGGCTGCGCTCCGGGTGACTTCAGAAACGGAGCGGTCCTTCCTTGGGGGTCGTGTTGTTGGCATCTGTATAAGGCTCTTAAACCCGAGCCTAATTAAAGGATCATGGGACTTAGTCAGTAAGGTTATAAGCACCCAAATTGAGGTTATGAGTAATTATAACTATAGTTACCTTACTTATATCCTGTGCTTCTAAGTCCCATGATCCTCCAAGTACACCCGGAACGCTTCGGATGCAGGTCTGCACCGGGTGCAGAGGAGGCTTTGCAGAGCTGGGCTCCTCAGATAACCTCGGCAAGTTGCCGGTCTAGCGTTCAGCCAGTGTTAAAGCTGTAGACTAGTTGACTCATACCTCTAGAGTCTACAGCCATCTTGAGAGTAAAGTTGCGTCCCAGCACATGAATAGAGAACTTCAGGTTCAAGAAAATGGTTTAGGCTTCCTTCATTGTTGCTTCACTGGTGATCCCGTCCGCGGGAAACGTGCCACAGGCATCACAAGTAAAACCGCCAAATGCTTACTCAAGCGTGCCGATGCGAAAGCGGGACGTGTCCTTCGCGGTACCGGTCCTTAAACAGATTGAAACCAGTAAGCTACTGTAACCTACCGCAGATGACAGGCTCCCAGAATGCATGGGCTCTATTTGCTACTTGCACCACTGGTCCTGGAAGTTCCTCTTTCATGCAGACGTTGCCATAGCCCGTAAAAGTCGTCGACGCCTCAGCCATTGATGTAGGCACTTCGGGCATCTCGTTATCCTGAGGCTGTTGCTAGCAATGGGGTTTCGCAAGGATGGTAATGCGGTAATGCGGCATCATCAGCAAGGTGGCCGTCTCAGATAACTATCGTGCCGTAAGTTGGGGCTGTTGGCAGAAAGTTCAGTAGTCTGCCTCCCCTTGCTTTTAGTCCCCAGCATCGCCCAGATCAGACCCATACAAGCGGAAAGGAACCCTGAAAGGAATCCTCAAAGGAAGCCTTTTAAAGGGAACCCCTAAAGTAGCCCTACTCTAGACTCTAGTCATTCGATCAGGCCTTTCTACGGGAACCCCTAAAGTAGCCCTACCCTAGTCATTCGATCAGGCCCTTTTTACGGGAACCCCATGGAACCCCTAAAGTAGCCCTAAATCTAATCATTCAGGCCCCCCCCAAACAGGGTTTCCGCTCATGCGCTCCCGCCATGTGCGCTTTATCGCGCGACGGAGATTCGGCCGGTTTCGGGAGGCTGGTTTAGGGTCAGGGGTTAGGGTTTGGGGTTTAGGGTCAGGGGTTGAGAGTTGAGAGTTGAGGGTGGATTGATTAAAGTTTAATTAGCATTGAGGGTGCATGAGGGCTGAGCCTCCGTATTGCTGACAGTCAGGTGATGGCACAAGTCCCGATGCAATGAGAGAGTGCACAGGTTGAGCCTTGAGGCTTAGAGATGAT